CCTGTTGTTGAAACAAACAAGGTCAGATGGCAGTCAAGTTTCAAAAGACATATATAACATGCAACACAAAATAGATAAAGGTAAACCCTTGCTTTTTTAAAAAAAAATTATTTTCCAGGCACACTTCTCCATCACGGATCCGCCCATTTTATCAAATACAACTAATTCTGCCAAAACACTCGATAAATTAAAGAGAAAAACTTTCTCAATTTTTTAGTTTTAAAGAGAGAGAGTATCTTGAAAAGGTTAAAACTATTTCTAATTTTAGAGAGAAACTACTTAAATTTTTTTATAGATAAACTAACTCAAAATATTTATAGAGAAACTATTTCAAATTTTAAGTTTTCGAGAGAGAGTATCTTAAAGTTAGAAAGAGAGAAACTATATCAAATTTTAGAGAAATAAAGTACTTAAAATTTTTTAGAGAGTGAAAACTATCTCAAAATTTTTAGATAGAAAAACTATCATAATTTTTAAGTTTTAGAGAGAGAAAAAGTAACTAGAAGTTTTTAGTGAGGGAAACTATCTCAAAATTTTAGAAAGAGAAACTATTTTAAAAATTTTAGAGAGATGAACTATCTCAAATTTTAAATTGTAGAGAGAGAAAGTACCCAAGATTTTTAGAGAGAAACTGCTTAAAATTTTTAGAGAGAAACCGTCTCAAATTTTAAGTTCTAGAAAGAGAAAACATCTTACAATTTTAGAAAGAGAAACTATATCAAATTTTAAAGAGATAAAGTATCTCAAATTTTAAGTTTTAGATATAAAGAAAACTATCTCAAAATTTTCATAGAGAGCAACTATCTCAAATTTTACTGTTTGGAGAGAGAAAGTACATGAAAGTTTTAGAGAGAAACTATCTCAAAATTTGGAGAACTATCCCAAATTTTAAGCTTAAGAGAGAGAGAGAGAGACTTTCTCAAAATTTTAAAGGGAGACACTCCCAACTTTTAGGTTCAGAGAGAGAAACTACCTAAAAAATTTTGGAGAGAGAAATTACCTAAAAAAATTTAGAAAAGAGAAAGCATCTCAAAGTTTTTAGAGATAAACTATCTTAAATTTTTTGATAAATTTTAAGTTTTTTATAGAGAAAGTATCTTAAAATTTTAAATAGAGAATTTTTTAGATAGACTTATAATCAGTCCATAGATAAGTTTAAGAGTATAACTAAATCTACTAACATTCAGATCATTACTAGACTTATCAACTGTATAGATTTCCTTAGAATTGGTGCTTACAATATTTTGACGTTGAGTGACCAAACTAATTATACGTATAGTTTGTTGTTACCACATTGAACCTGAAATTTTGAGGTTAAAACACTAGGTTGGATTCTTATTATAGAAGATTACTTTATGGACTCTAGCCCCATTTTTTTGACATCTTACTATGTACAAGACCTTTTGTTAAAGGATGAACTAAATTTTCTTTTGATCTTATATATTCTATATTAATTACTCCATGTTGAAATAACATTTTAGTGGAGTCATGCCTTCGTGCAATATGTATAGATTCTTGTTGTCACAATAGTGACATGATTATCACACTATATTGTGATCACCGGTAATGGTATGGTCATATGGGAATATCATATAATAAATTATGTAGCCATTCTACCTCTTTACAAGCAGAATCTAAAGTAATAATTTCGAACTCTATAGTATAGCATAAAATGTATGTTTGCTTATTTGACCACCATGATATCCCACCACCTGTTAGTGTAAAAATCTATCCGGATGTTGACAATGAATATTGGATTTCCTTGTTCTAATGAGCATCATTATATCTTTCCAACACTCCAGGATAACCCACATATTGTATGTCATAGTTGATAGTTCCTTTAAACATCTTAATACGGGAGAGATTGCTTTTCAAAGCTCTATCAGGGCAACTCGTATATCTGCTAAGTTTGCCCACAACATATGTAACGTCAGTCTCTCTCCCAGGGCAACTCGTATATCTACTAAGTTTGCCCACTGCATCTGTAATGTCGGGTCTCATGCTGCTAATTGCATATATCAAACTATCAATTACCCTGATATATTTTATTTGAGATATACATCTCCCAACATTTTTCTTTAACTTGTTATGAAAATCTATCATGGTAGAGAATGACTTACTATCAGTATGCTCAACTGATGGAGCATTTAATCAATTTAGTGAGAATGAGTCAATAAACACCTTTTCTTTCCTCACTATTTTGATACCAAGGGCTGGGTCATGGTGGTAGAACCCATATACCTAGTTACCACATTGTGGTTTCCAACTTGAAAGAAAAAAGAGCTAACTTCATAATCTTTATGAAGAAACAGGTAGGGGCATGCCTTCCCCACTTAATTACCCAAAAAAAAGTATCACATTAACCTCTCCCAATGCCTTCATATCAAAGTTAGATGTGAGGAATCTCTTAGTTTCCTCCACAATTTTCAGATCAGTGCTAAAAATCTGCATATCATCTATATATAGACATATTATGATACATAAAGAATTTATTTGTTATTATACACACATTTATCAACCTCATTTCTCTTAAATCTATTCGACAACAACACATTGTAAATTTCTTATTCTACTATTTTGGTGCTTATTTAAACCCATAAAGAGATTTTTAACTAATTTACAGACTTTGTTCTCATGACCTCACATCACAAACCCTTCTGTTGTTCCATATAGATTTCTTCATCTAAGTCACCGTTTAAGAAAACAATTTTGGCATTCATCTTATGTATGACTCAATTGTTAATAGATGCTATTGTTAAAAGCAATTATATATTCGCAAGTCTGGCCACATGTGTATGTGTAAAAATAATGGGAACAGTTTATATAGAGCCTAGGCTCTAAACAATTAAATTAGAGCCTACTTCAAACCATTCACTAGAAGAGGTTGTTTTGATGCCCGAATAGTATCAAATTGATCATCTCAACATCAAGATCCATGTACATGAGAAAAAAATGAATTTCGAAAATAGTGCATCTTGTAATGCATTTTTCGACCGTCAATTTTTAAGATTTTCAAATTTTCATAGATCTGATCGATCTACACTATTTTTGAAGCTTTAACTTTTATAACTAAAGATGAAAATATAAGGCTATCACAAACTTTCTAGCACTTAAACCATATTTTTGGATACTATTTGAAGGTGAGGTCAAATTTGATTGTTTAGAGCCTCATCCCTATACAAACCGCACCCAAAAATAATTGATGCTCTCTTTTTCTTTAATTCCTTTGGCCACTAATCTTTTTATTAGTGAAATTGTTAACATTGTGTTTTCTTTTAAAAATTCATTTACAATCTATGAGTTTAGAATCAGGTGGAAGATCTACTAAGTTCTTAGTACTATTTGGTGGAATTAATATACACTGGGATACTCTACCTTCAACTGTGGACTACGGTTCATGCTTACTTTCTCAAACCGACCGAACATTTCCCATGACCCACAATCCACGCAGTGGATCATTAGTGGGTCACCAAAGTCTAACAAATGGGTAAGAGGTCGTAGTCTTAATCCATAGATTTCAGGTTCTCCCCTAAACACAAAACCAATGTCACTTAGACCTAATTTAATCCATTGTTCGATGGTGCATAAGGGTTATCTCTCCCACATGCACATGGTTCACTCTGAAAAGTGATTCGCTTTCCCGAAAACGGCTATCAATGTGAATGTCGTGTGACGATACACAGATGAGACTTTGGCTCCGTCTTTGGAGGTCTCCATCACACACAAGGGTCACATAATCCCTCCGCTCACTCATCCGAGTATACTCTGACCTCATCAAGAGATGACTCATCATAACCCTTATTGATTTGTTTTTTTATACCCAAGTAAGATGGGTTTTTTCCAACCAAACTGGCTTAGCTCGTAAAACACAGTCTGGTGTCAGCAAACATAATTTGCTTAATATGGTCGACAGGGGACCACACTCCCACTGAGTTTATGTCTCACTTTATAAATTCATTTACAAGCTGTCATATGGCCTTTAATAGCAGCACACACCCAATACCAATATTAAGTGGCTAGGAATTTACTGTTCAAGTGAACGGTTTCATACTATTTTTTTGGGTAAATAAATAATGGATGCGCTTTGTATAGTGCCAAAGCTCTAAAGAATCAAAGCAAAGTGCACCTTCAAATAGTATCGAGAAATGTAGTTTCAATACTAAAAATCTTTGTGATAGCCTTAAATATATTTTCATTTTTAATTATAAAATTTAAAGCTTAAAAAATAGTGTAGATTGAACAAATCTACGAACTTCGAAAATCTTGAAAATTGACGGTCCAAAAATACGTTATAAGATATACTATTTTCAAAACTTGAAACCCATTTTTTTTCTCATGTCCATGCATCTTTATGTCAAGATGATCAATTTGAGGATATTTGGACATCAAAACAACCTCTTTTAGTGAAATTTTTGAGGTAGGCTCTAATTTGATTGTTTAGAGCCTCTGCTCTATATAAACTTTTTCCATAAATAATAGTGTGCCAACAGTTATCCATATGACAGATCTCAAACAACCACCATCAACAGTTATCAAGCTTTGGATGTGAACAGTTGTATGCATCACTTGCAATTTCAATGGTTGTAATCTGTTATATGTGCCTCAAGTCTTCCACAATTGGATTTCCCATGTGCCACACTCGCACCTCCCAGCGCACATTTGCAAGCACAAGCCACGGCTCGTAAAAAATAGATCGAGCCTTGAGCCCGACCACAAACATGCCCGAGCAAGGGGCATTTTATGCAGCAATCCAATCGTGCGAAGTGCGCCATCAAGCACCCTTATGCCCTCGCACATGCGCATCGCATACTTCGTGTATGCACCATCACCCTCTCGTTTGTTTTAAGAACATCAAGTATGATAATGCTTATGCTTAAATACCACTCAATCCACACTCCCTTCTTCAATGTGGGACAAAAACCCACTCCTCTCTCTCAAGATAATTTAAAACCGAGGAAAACCACACAAAACATTATCTTATTTTAAAATACACCAAAATATTTTTAAAACCAAAAATACTAACATATTTATTGAAAGAGATCTTAGATGAAGAAGAATGACAGATAACAGTTTGACCAATTCCTGATGAAATTCTCAAAGGGTCCATGTACACACTAGCTAATACATACATAATAATATGCACAAAATTGTGGTATGAACTATGAAAAATCCTACATCTGAACATTACACCCATTCCACACGATACAGAAGGGTAAAAAGGAACTAAACTGGCATAGGGCTCCTCTCCAAGGCTTCCTTACCCGTGATACCCTCCTCTAGAGCCTTGAAATAAACATCATAGTCCTTTTCAGGGGGTGGGGTGTTTGGGTTGACCACAAATGGCTCACTAAATGGTACAGTACTTTTCACCTACAAATTAGCAGAACCAAACTTCACTATAACATTAGCCCACTCATAGAATGAATTGAAAACGTATCACGCTTCTACACATGGAAAAATTGCTCAGAAACATGGTTGCAGGTGTGAAAGTTACAATCCAGAACAATAGACCAAATTAAAAAATACAATATTTATTACACAGGGAATCAAAAGAAAGTTAGCATACACACCTTCACACATCCTGTCTAGTAGCTTATTCATAAGCTCAATAACATGTATGAAGATGCACATTGTCTACACAGTTCATGAAAAAGTTGGCACGCACAGATGGAGGCCAAAAATAGGCCTGGGTATACTAGCAAAAGCAAGTATACCAGCAAACTGTACTATCTTGATCAAAGAGTAATTATAGGAGAAAGACATTCTTAATGGTTCGTCATATTACCTTTGTTTTCCATGGTAGGTCCACAAATTTGCATCACTCTTATTAGGTAATAGCCTCTCAGGATAAGACCTTCCACCTAACATAGTCATGTGTCTACACATGCAGGGAACCTTCAAAGGGTTAGTCAAGGATTACAATTTTAGGTTGATTTATGATGTTCCAGAACCAGCCATGGGATTTGTATTGTTTGAGGTTCTCGGACCTTATAGTGGAGGTGAACTAACTCGCTGCCGCACCACCAAAGATGGAGGCCCTAACATGTTCTCAATAGATTAGTACACCATGGAATGGAATGATCTATAGATTCTTCACTTGCATGCTAGCATCGCAGATGTTTTTGACAATGATCATATCTTAGAGTAGTAGAAACATGTTTAAACTTAGAAGGGATAGGGTTAATCCATGAGGCCCATCCTATATGAAGGTAGTCGTCGGGGGAGGATAGGATTTGCTAAAGCGAATTTAGTGTTTTGAAGCACATGACTCCCAGCAATATTGGTATGAATAGCAGAGCAAATGAGTTCCCTGGGCACAAGTGCAAATAATGACGGCATCATGAAGCTAATGGTACTGGAGGCATCTATTCGTGAAAGTGGGACATGAAATTGTTATTGTTTCATGTCCACTAAAAGGACATGAAACAAACAAAATTCTCCCTCATAGTGAAGGGCTTCCGAGAGAAACCTGCAAAGTCATTTGCTGAACAAACAAACAGATCAGGGGTTCATGTTGATGGAAAATCTTTGTGGAGGTGCTCAGGCTATTCTCATACAAAATCAAGCTCAATGAGGATGGGTTTTTGTACAATACTGCACATGCCAGATTCACTAGTTTTTAGACAAATATTTATGGCAAAGTGATTATGAACTTTTACCATATCGTACTACCTCTCTCTCAAGTCAAAACAGTTTCTTTATTATAGCAATCAGGATAGAAGTCTACTTTTCTTGGATTTCTTAAAGAGTTTTCATGATGGCCACTATTTTCCATTGGTAGGTTGCCTGACTGGTGATTTTGACCTTTAATTTACATTAAATCTGAACTTTTGGACAAGGTAATGATAATGTAGTGTCTTTTGCAATGTCATGGTCAAAAGGGAAACAGTGGGTAAATTAGCTAATGAAATCTTAAGTGGACTTGATCCCAATTGTTCATGATGCCTTGTGATTTTCATCTTTAACGAAATGTATCTGAATCCCAGAAAATTTACTCTAGATTGTTAGGTTTTTCTTCTTTCCATGTAATCCTTTGGTTAACTCTACAACATCATTTCTTTAATCAACATACTATTTTGCTTCCAATGTAATCCTTTTGTCAACTCTCTGCAACATAATTTCTTTAATCAACATACTCAGTTACGAGATATTGATTTAAACGATTATTTCATTCAACAAAAAATTTGGACTGCCTAAGAAACATGGTAACTTTTTTAATTTACTAAATCAATTATATGGTTAAGGATAATGCTAATGACACTCATAATAAACAGGAACAAACCTCAAATGTCTTGTTGCATGCGTGTGGACTTTCCAAAGCAGTAACACATATACGAGCAACCTCTTCCCTTGATATTTTCCCCTAAATTTACATTTCCAGAAACAACATCAATACTCATGCTTGTTATCTTCAAACGAAAATAGATAAAATCTTCCAAACATAATCTGAAATGGGCACATTTTATTATGAAAGCAACTTTGTTGCCTCGTGATTATTCATTACCAAAGTTACTAAAGGAAAGTAGAATGCAGCAGGATAATCATGAGTACCGTAATATTGTCGCCCTGATCAAAAATAAGATCAGCTCCAGCAGGCTCCTCAGTCAGAGCACAAGGCCTTACTATTGTGTATGGAATGCCACTATCCCTAATCACATCTTCCCCCTGTTAAGCAAAATTTAATCTAATAAACATAGAGATTCATAATCTTACTATCACAAGCAAGATGTTTACAAACATAGACCTTCAAAATGGATATGGATTCAACAACATGAATTTCAACATTGAATTATGCGTTAATGATCAGGAAGGCAATTCATTTACATGAAGGTGACTTCATTGCAACAATGATCATAGCACCTACATAGGCTCAGATTCCCCATGGTCCCATGCCCATCTCAGCAGTCTGAATCAGCCGAGTATCTGCTAAAAATACACAGGAAGGCAATGACCCAGTGACACTCGCCCGAGTCTCGGTTTCTTATATAAACCCAGCACCCGGCTAGGCCCAGGTGATTTAGGCAACTCTGAGCTCAAGTCACCTTTTATAGTTCACTGCATTGCACATATACATAGTCATAATGACCTCAATTATCTTTAATCTGATTTTCTGATGCAGATATTGGGTATTAACATGTAGTTCAGACCATAGCTGTCGAAACCGGGAGCGGGAATGAATACATATGAAAGGTTGTGATTGGGATCGGGATCAGGAGCGAGGGATCATAAAATGCTAGAAGATCCCTAAGGTTGGGAACGCTGTCCGTACAATGCATATGTAAGGGATCTAGATTCCAATCTTTTGGGGATCTTGATCCCGACCTTTTGGGATCTTGATCCCAACTTTTTGGAGATCTTGTTACCAACCTTAAAGTGTATAATAATTTAGGATTATGTATACTCTTTAAAGTAGGGATCTTATTATTGATAGCAAGCAAGCAATAGTTGTGTTCCTAGTTGGCTGCAAACAAAGAAAATCATCAATTTGGCTGTGGTGTTGGTCTTTAAGGTTGGGATCGGGATCCCTATGAGTGGGGTTCAAGATCCCAAAAATTTAAAAATCGAGATCCTTGAGAGATCCGTTCCGAGAGCGACATAATCAAGATTCTAGAAGGGATCGCCTGCCAAAGTAGGAGATCCCGGTAACTATGGTTGGGACATACATAGCTATGATGACATCAAATATCTTTTCATGTAATTATCCAAAGTTCAGATATTGGGTAATAAGAAAGACTTATTTTTCTTTCCAGTAGTTTTTTGGTGAGAAAAAATATTAGTTATGCCAAAAAGGTGACCAATATAGGTGTTTGTCTACATTAACTAGGCAACTACAAGATGAAGTACCGTGGTGCATGTTGTTTGTTGACGGCATAGCTTAGACTAATGAAACTAGAGACAATACCAATGCAAAGTCAGAACTTTGAAAGGATGCTCTAGAATCTAAAGGTTTTGAAATTAGCCAGACTAAGACAAAATATATGGAATATAAGTTTAGTAATAATAGGAGTAGAAATGAGTAATTAGTGAAGATTGATGGTCAAGAAACCTTAAAGAGATTATTTTTGATATCTTGGGTTGATAATTCTCATGAATAGAGATATTAAGGAAGATATTGCGTACAAAATTAGAGTTGGGTGGATGAAATGGAGATGTGCTTCTGAAGTCTTATGCAATTGTCACATACCAATCAAACTGAAGGGAAGTTCTATAGGATGATTGTAAGACTAGCTATGCTTTATGGGACATAATGTTGAGCAGTCAAGAAACAATATATTTATAGAATGAGTGTAGCTGAGATGAGGATGTTGAAATGGATGAGTGACAAGACAAGAAAGGATAGAATTCAAAATGAATACATATGAGGGAACTTAGGATTAGCTCCAATAGGATATAAGACAAGGGAAAGTAGACTTTGGTACTCTGGTCATCTGCAGTGTCGACCTAGAATAACACCAGTTAGGAGGGGTAACTTGCTTCAAGTGGAAACTCCAATAAGGCAAAAGAAGACCCAAAAGGACATAGATGGAAGTAGTAAGAAGAGATATAATGACTTATGGTCTGACTAAAGGTATGGCCTTTGATAGAGCGGAATGGCAGAATAAGATTCATGTAGTCAACCCCAAATAGGTGGGATAAGGTTCGGATGATGATGATGATGAATTCCCAAGTTCCATGAATATAAGCCCATAACAAAATGCCACAAATATGATGAATCACTCATTTGAATTTTTTTATAGCAAGTTCCAAAGCTATAATTATTGTATGAAAGGATGAAACATAACTCTCTTTCCCTAATTACTAGCTTTTATGATAACGGGATACATAATTGCCTAATGTATTTTTCATGAAAAATGCAAACTTCACATGAAAATACAGCTCACAACCTTCAACTTAAATGTGAGGATATATCCCAGCTCCTTGTTTAAGCGTACAGCAGGAGGTTGTTTACTCAAATCTAGTCCTGGTCTGTCAGGTCTTGTAACCCCAGCAGAACTCACATGTACAAACCTGCACTCGAGTAAGCATATAAGGATGGAAACATGAAAATTATTCAACTTTCCATAAATAATTCATTACTCCAACAAAACTTATTGAAATTTATGACAAGTGTAAGAAGACAATTAAAAACCTGGGTGTGATAGGATCCTTTATGTATGCTCTTATACAGGAAACAGGAAGTGCAAAAGCTCCTTCCTCAAAAGTTGGGCTCAGCTTCCCATCATATTCAAACTTGCTGTACATAAGCTGAAAATAAAAATAATTCATGTATGTTTATTCATGAAACAGGCCGATAGTTCTTTCTGCTCAACACAAATTTGAAACTTGATCAGAAGAATGAAAATGATACCTGTAGCGATACTACTGCGCTTGGGTTAAAAGGTGGAGCATCTGATACCGTCCGAGCTCGAAATACAGGTCTCAAAGAAGAAAATGGTAGGCATATCTGAAGCATAAAGGAAAAAATTACATATCTATATCACATACAGTCAAAGCGAAATGAATGATGATAAGGAATACGACTTACTGTCTGCCATTGTCCTTTCACAGTGTCAAAGCTTGCAGTATAGCCCACAGTATCCCATTCAGCACTAGTGCGAACAATGAGTTTATATCGATGACCATCACCTTTAACTCGTATTTCAATACCATCATAGGCAGAAAGGTCCTCAGGTACGGAAAAGTTCTATCGCAAAACAGAGATGGTGCTGATACTTAAAAGCGCGTCGTATTAAAGGACTGCATGCACGATTTTAGGATTAAAAAATGACCAGTTCTTTACCTTGGTTCTGATACTGGTAAAGCCACCATTATTTGCTGTTGAGACAATCCCTGTTGAGCAAAATAGTCACCCAATTATGATGAGCAACGACAACAATGGAACACCTATATTTGGATACTTGCGATAATAGTACTCTACTGGTGACTTTTATGATGTTTATAATGTACTTTTATTATAGAAAACTATTGTGGAGCCACCATTTTTATATTTAAAAAATTCGTGTCCCATGTCCATGTCGTGCCTGATACTTGTGTGTGTTTTTAGTAACATAATTGTTCATGTTGCAATACAAAAGCCACATTCCCTCTAATAGAAAAGAACAACTGTGCAAGATAATACCTTTAAATATCCCAGTAGGTCCACCCTTTTCACCGCCACAAGGATCTATTTGAAATGTACTTTCACTCACACCTCCCATTACAACATCATCTAGAGCACCCCAAACAAATTTTCCAGGTGAATTACCTACATGTGGATACAATTATTATACAGTAGAAAAATATATAAAGGTTACTAGAGAAGAAATAAGAACATTAAAGTTCACTTCGCATAAAGGGTGAAGCAAATAGTAGGAACACAATCAACTTAGCAAGGGCAGGAATCCTATGGAAGTTATGATACATCTTACAAAACTCAATTCATATAAAATGAAACCCTAGTTGGCTATAGAGATGTTTAGGGAAAGATTTCAAATAATACTCATCATCTTCTTTTAAGAGCAATTCCAGAAACATCCTGAATCCACCAGAGGAGCACTCAATACCTACATTTTTTATTATTTAGTAATTGTTAGAGTGTATGCCCTGTCAATGGCATACCTTGAAACCCAAAGAGCAATTTTCCATTCTGATATCCAACACTTTCCTTTACAGCATTGATCAAATTTTGCATCCCAATGTACTCTACCATTTCTGGGGAATCACCTTTTATCTGCTTGCAGCAGCCATAAAGAAGCAATAAGGGAACAATACCGGGAATAAAAGTGCAACAGAAAAATATTCTGAGAACAAACGAAATTAAGAATAAAAACATTTGGCAATTAATGAATCCAACTCTACATAGTTTTAGCAGTAGCCACAACCTCTGGCTCAAAAAACTTGATTCCCTACACCACAAAAGAGAAATAAGTCAATAGACTATGATAACCATCTGAAAATAACATGGCATATTTATGAATAGACTAGTATAGGAGTTACAAAAAAATTCACACTGAGAAAATCCAAAATACTCCATGGCCATGGGACATAGATTCATGGTGGCGAATTAGCTAGCCTCTTCGATTCAATCAAAAGAACAAAGTGTACTATTCCAGTGATCGAATTTTAATCATACCTGGCTGTACTTGGCCCTGTCTGGAGTATCACCTTCCTTTGGACCAACAATGACAGAAACTGCATTTATAACTTTCTTCACACCTTTAAAGTACTCAGGAGCAAGAGTATCCTTTTTTGTTACATCTCCAACAATCTAGAAAATTTGGCAAAAAAATTTCACATTATAAAGAGAGACATAGAATAGAGAAGGTGGCAGCCATAAACATAGCGCAATGGAGATTGCATCACAGCACATTTAGGTCAACAGATCCATTTCGTCAATAAGCACTATCTACAGATTCTGGAAAAATTCATACTTAATGCAGATGCCTGGAAGAAGATTTGGAATCACCACAAACTTACTTCAGTATCATGTACTATTATTTGACGAGCATTAACTAAAATGTATAAGATGCCTCCACAAACTCTCACAGCATAATGAAGCAACTACTACTTTGGACAATCAATGATGTCCCCTCATACTAAATCAAAGCGAAGTGCATAAAATAAAGACAGATTATAAAAATAATTTTCTGATATTTCCCTAGTAACATAGCACAGTAAACTACGATATATTATAATACAACTCACGGCCACTACCACTGAGAGACATGAAGTTGCTTGGAGTAACTAAAAGAGAAGAATGCAAACAAATTGGAATCTATAAAGAAATGTCAGAGGGTAGAAAAAAGAATACAAAATCAATAGTGACATATTAAAGATTAAGTACTTTTACAGTAACATTACAACAACAATGGTTAAGTAAAAGCGTGTCACACAAGAGCGTCATAAGCATGATGTGTTGACGTGCGCCCAAAGCATGAACGCTCCTATCCACATAGCATAGCGATGTAGCCATTTGCTTCTATGAGCACATGGGACTAGGAGACACACACCAGTCAATTGCTTCCTTGAGCACATGGGAGTAGAAGACAAAACAACTGTTCACCTCTCCTGATATCTCTTCTAAGGTAGTATTTTCTCCCTCCATAGGCCCACATATATGCAAGGCTAGCAGGTACTTGTGATTCCACCAGGGCAGAAATGAAAGCACTATTTAACTACGGTAGAAATGGTTGCTCTCTAACGAGCGACAGAGAATTCTCCAAGTAAATATTAGGGCCTTTGCTGGCAATGGGCAATTAAATGAGAGGTGATCTCCTTTCATAGCACCCTTAGAGATGACAATAAAGAAGTTAATTCCCATGCTAGACAGGAGAGTAGAAGAAAACATTTCTTGAAAGCGATCTCCCGCTCCACTACACCTTTCACAGATTAACTTTTTTGTTGTTTCTATTTCTGTTGTGATACCTTTTCTATTTGATTTTCTAATGGAAGTTTAATAGAATAGCATGGATACAAAACCAATTACAGGATAAAAACTTCATAAATTTATTAGTTTAAAAGAAAAAAAAGCTTTGTGTAAATTTACATCTGCATCTGTAACTTACCAAGTCAATGTCAGGACCAAGTATAGTCCTTGCCTTCTCTTCATTTCTAACCTATTTGGCAGAGAAAATGGAAAAGAATTAGAAAGAGAGTGTTAGAAAAACGAAAATTTTAATGGATAAAGATATGGCAAGTCTAAGACTAATGTAATTTAATTCAATATGGTTGCAGTAATGCCGATGAAAAATATTTTCTAAACAAAAATACTAGAATACCAGAACTCGAACTGGTAAGCTTTTCTTATACAAGATGTCAACCACCCGTCTCCCCACTCCCCCAGTTGCTCCCGTTACAAGGACCACATCGTGCTTTTCCTTTGCCATGACTGGTTCACTAGATCCTGAGCTTGAAAGTTTTTCTAGCAGAAATTCAAAAAACTTCATAGACCAAAAGGATCATATCAGCTACAACATGAAGCAATTTAAAACATATTTAGGGAAAAAATCACCCCACAACTAGCTAAAAGAACAAAGGGTTAATGAATGAAAATTACCTTAGCAGGAGATGGAGGTCCACTGAAAAAGTAAACAGTTTTTAAAAATCTACCAATGTCCCAAGACTGTCTGCCCGATTCAGCAAATATGGATCCTCTAGAGGCTGGTGAGCAATAATTTCTGTAATACAATGGCCGAACTCTGTCATTAGGTTGAATAAACCGTTTAGAATGGAGGATCACATCCCTTTGATATAGAATTCTATTATTTAATCTCCTAGAAACAGGTGGTGAAGGGAATCCCTGCAAAGCCAGTTAATTCAAAATTAAGACACAAAATGAATTCATGATGAGTACTCGCTCTGTTATTCTAGATGGTGTTTTTGGTATATTACTGGTTAAACAGCCAGCATTCAAGATTTTTTGAAGTAAATATACATATTGAATTGCTCAAACAGACCATAACCATAAAATTTGGTTCTATATAGATGAACAAAATCATAAACACCAAGGCAGATGCATGAAGAACGTCCATAAAGAAAAGTGCACTGAAGAGAAATAATACAAAGAAAAGTACACCAAAGAGAAATACATGCAAGTATTGTCAATGATCATGCAAAGAGATATATGGACACTATCTCTAACAATAATCTTGTAAAATAGTGGAATTTGAATGACTTATCTTTGTAACATAAGTCAAGAAAGATACTCAAATCTTAAGAATATTGGATCAAAATCTATGTCCTCTAGATGATAAGGCGGTCTTTTGAAAGGCACGAGCACTATTATGTATTAGGCATTACTCAAAATCCAGATTTTTCTGCAATCACCACATTTTGACATAGTTGAATTCCCAAAGGAACAAATCCATAGACCTTCTGCAATATAAAGTTTAATTTTCCAAATTTCCAAAATATTATATTCTTATTAAAATGACAACAATACACATATAATTATTTACCATTATTACTTTTCTTTGCAGTTTACCATAATTGTTATCAATTAAGAAAGTAGAAAATTTGAATTCAATTGAATTTCAAGTAACACGCGGTTGTTAAATTGTTTTGAAGCTCATGTATCTACTGCAAAGAAGCTCATGACAATATCTACTGCAAAACGAAATAACAAAGCTCTACACAACCATAGAGCATTTAAATTAGGCAAAAATTAAGAAAAATTAAAAATATGCGCTTTGAGCACAAGGTTAAACCCTTTGATGTTATGTCCCAAAGGCAGTAAATTCCTTGAAATTGAGAATCAGTTCAGGCCATTTTACACCACTTGCAAAACTCCTTCCCAAAATCTCAATATGTTTCCCATACCCATAACCCAACAGAAGATAAATTTTAAGTTTTCCAGTAATTATTCAGCAAAGATTCAAATGCAACATCGACCATGAGAATTAAACCACAAAGAGCAACATAAAATGAGCCCAAAGAAATCAGAACGAAGAGTAAAAAATCAGACCTGGAATCCGAGATTTAGATGGGAAGAAGGAGCAGAAAGAAAAGTGGCAGCTCTGCAACACTCCATGACTGTTACCAAGAGAAAAAAAGAAAGAGGAAAAGGGAAAAGACAAGGACTTTGTCAGAATTCAGAAGCAAGTTAATGGGGTCTTTAGAGAAATTAAAAAATAAATTGTGGCCACAAATGCAAGAGGAGAAAGCTGATCTCTTTGAAACTTCGAGAGAGCTGGATGGGTTCAATAGGCAGGCGAGGTCAGTGACTTCGAGAGAGCTGGATGGGTTCAATACGCGGGCTCAGAGGGCTCGGACCTTGGTCCACGCCTTTGTTGTTGTAAAGGGTTTCCCTCAGAATCACGGATTCCATGAATATAACGTCCGTTATCAAGGTAAAATCCTCTAAATTACTTGATTTAAAGGCCTAGGGGCATGAACTAACTCCACAAATTGCCTTTTCTGATGTAAAATACTGAAATTTAGAAAAGGACCCGGTTTTTATGCGGCCAAGTCCGCATATGTCCAAATGCGGGCCTCTTAATAAATCTGTTTTTGGACTTAAATTTTAAAGGCATGTAATCTTTAATATGGAGAACATGAATAAGAAAAATTAAATAAATTTTTAAAACTAAAAAAAATAATTCTAGTAAGAAAACATTTGGACCATTAAATTCCATTACTTTCATAAGGAACACCTACTTGCATTCATCTTTAAGATTGATGGTTTACACCTTTTGGACGACATATGTAGAAATGCGGTCTAACCCACATGAAACAATTTTTCTTTAGAAAAATATATCTTTAAATCACCATTATTAAAAAATTAGATAACATAACGTATCTATCTTATAGATTTACTATTATTATAAGATAACTTTCAAGTTTTTGTTATTACACTTATATCTATTTTTTCACCATTCTAACTATTAAAAAAACAAAAAAAAAAACAAAAAAAAGATCGAAGTGCCCATTTTTTAAAAGGCAAGCTTTCTATGCTTTCTCAGTAGCATAAAACTTATATACTTCCCCTTATTTAACTATCCAATCCAATGGTTTAAAAAAAAGATCGGTGACCCGGATCGGGCTTCCAAAAAACCGATTCGGATCGACGGATCGGCTATCCGGATCGGGAATCGGGTGAATCGGTCAAAATAAAGTTTAAAAAAAATCTGAAAAAATTATTAAAATTCATTATAAATATTGTTTTTTAGGAATTCAATAAGAAATGAGGGTACTCCATTAAGAATTTTCATGTTTTTGAATGAATATGCGAATATTGATATGTTCTTTCCCTGTATGAACCGCCATTCAGCATTTAATTTACATCACACAAAAGGATAAACATATAATTATCATGGAATAAGTATATCAACATACATGGACTACAATAAAGCATAAAATTAATAACATATGATCTAAAAATAAAATGATAGACGACGTTATTGTTCTTCTTGGTCACGCTGGTGCCATTGATTGAATTCGTTTAACAATTCATTGATTCGATCTAAAAACGAATCATCGATATTAGCAGGCGTCTGACTATTCTCAAATCCCTAAGTGTTAGTGTTTTGTTGTGTTCCCAATCTAAAATCCCCGAAGATTGTCCATCCTTCATGCTCACCTGCACTGTCGTGCTCATCCCTACACTGTTGTTGTTGGGACTCGATATGTGAATAATATGGCTAGGATAGGGTGGCATCAGAATCATCATCTCTCTCATTTTCTCTTTGAATAATATGGATTAAAAAAAAATAACAAATTTTCAAAGAAATCGATCATGGATTAAAAAAAAATCACAAATTTTCAAAAAATTCTATCATGGATTACAAAAAAAAATTTGATCACGGATTAAAAAAAAAAATCACAAATTTTCCAAAAATTCTATCATGGATTACAAAAAATAATTCGATCATGGATTAAAAAAAAAAAATCACAAATTTTCAAAAACTTCAATCATGGATTACAAAAATTCGATCATGGATTACATAAAATTCGATCATGGATTACAAAAAAAACAAAAAATTCAATCGTGGATTACAAAAAAGAAAAAAACAATTCGATCATGGATTACAAAAAGTTCAATCATGGATTACAAAAAACTCTATCATGGGTTACAAAAAAAGCAAAAAACAAAAAATTCAATCATGGATTACAAAAAAAAAACAAACATTTCGATCATGGATTACAAAAAAAAAACAAACATTTCGATCATGGATTACAAAACATTCGATCATGGATTACAAAAAATTCTTTCATGGGTTACAAAAAAACAAAAAATTCGATCATGGATTACAAAAAAACAAAAAC